TTATATTAAAATAAAATATTGAATTATATTTCAGAAATTAAAAATTTAAGTACATTATTATACATTATACTCTATACATATATCACATAATATAATATTATATACCTACCTACGTTCAAACTAATAATTGTTCTTAAAATATCAATTTGTCATGCTCCAAAATATATCGTTCGCCCCGGGCTCCCAAAGACTTAATCCGGCCCTGGCTGTAGGTATGTGATACCTACCTATTATTTATTACCTATATATATATTACCATATCTATGTAATTATAATAGACAGTTTTTTATAGGTACCTGGTAGATACGTGGCTACATATAATTGATATTGCATATTTGTATGTTAATATTATACTTATGCGTATCGGTCATACGATATAAATTATACAGCCGACCGCAAAATGAGTATCAAATTATGTTAAAAATCGTCTAGAACGATATTAATAAACTGCACGTGTTATGGATATAATCGTACCTATGGCTCTATGGCTATACGCGTTTTCTTCCGCTACCTAATGTTTTTCACTCTTTCAAACGCATTCGATAGACGACTACAACTTGTTGATTGCGTTTAAGCTGTGTCAGCAGTTTTTGTTGCAGTTTTGATCTATACGATTGGGCGATATAGGGTATATATTTTTTCTATACACATCAGACCGCCCCAAATCAAAGTTATAGTAACCTATACCTATTATGATAATATAATCTGTATATATAAAAATGAATTGTTGTTCGTTTGTCTCGCTAAAACTCGAGAACGGCCGAACCGATTAGGCTCAATTTTTTTTTAAGATGTTCGTAATTGCCAGGAGAAGATTTATTTTGAAAATTTTAGGAAACTTTAGAGTTAAATCATTCACTTACGTACAGACATCAAGGGTTCCACAATCTACCGTCGGTAGATTGCCTACCTGATAATATACTGCTGCAAATCAGAATTATTGTTATTATTATGGGCAACTGAAAAGTTAAAATAAATTTTGAACACCATACACTGAATATTAAATAACGAATTAAACAAAGTTTGAGTCCTATAGATTTGGTAAATTTAACGGGAACGAAATACACGGGATCAGCTAGTAATATGATATATTCAAATATTATGTCATGAATGGTAATGGTATTGGTATAATATAAACTATAGACTATATAGTGTAGTAACGTAAAAATACGATAAATATAAAAACGACTCCCGTCGATAGTTGTATTAAAATAGTAAAATTTTACTATTACCTCCCTCCAGGTGTTCAGAGGGCTCTCGAGATCGTATATTCGAGAATTAGATCAAACACACCTTACAATATAAATGTTAAGTAAAAAGCACATCATAATATAATGTATGTAATACATACATGTATATTATGATTGCAATCGATATAAAATATTTTATTAAATGTCTTACCTGATTCACAGCTGTTTGTAGATTATGTTGTAGGAGTTTTAGGTTTTAGGTGACACAAAGTAATACTTCAAATACACAATTTAAATAAAGAATGGAATAATTATGATGGCTATCATAAGAAGTCCAGATTGTCGCTCGTTGAAATCGGTATTGAGATTCGAGAGGTTGTTACCGGTGGCTGGTGCCCATGCACTGGTTTAGGGACGACACGGATATGCCGACCAGAGAGTGGTCGGCGGTTTTATCAAAGGTTTTTGTACTTCCCCTAACTAGATTTTTCTTCGAAGACCTTTTAGTCGGTGACTATGGTTTTATTGGGGATATCCGATTTCTACGAAAGACAGTCTGGCCGTTATTTATTATTCTGTAAGATTTTAGTTTATTTATTATAATGATGTGTGAGTATATCATTAGAATAGGTACGCTATGCCTACGTGACCGTTGACATTATAACAATATACCGAATCGTCAAATATAATAATGTTATTATGATAGATGTCCGTATACCTACCGCGCGTCCACATTATCATATATAAACAATAATAATTACAAAGTCACACTGCTGTCAAAATATGAAATAAAAGAAATTCCTGAGAATCATTAGCAACACAGTTGTGTACAGCCGTCATTAGAATATAGCATACAAGCGTCGATTATAAATAGCGTTAATTAGCATCAACAAGTAGCCGTGCGTATATTATTAATAATTATTAGGTGCACCACGACGTCCGCTCCGTATACAATAAGACTTATGCATTATGCCATAAGGTATAGTAATATAATAATAATACTTACCTATAACATAGTCGTACGCAGTGAGAAGGATAACAGTAGCATTTTTGTGTAGTGTTTTACTCGAGGCTCACAGAGCTCTTCACGTATTGGAATGTTACTTAAAATACTTAATAATATTGTTATTATTTGTTATGACTTATAAATGTATAATAAATATTAAGATGTGTAGAGATTATACCTACCTACACATTTTATTCGTGTGCAGTGGCTATAATTATTAGATACATTCAACGGGTAGGTATGCAACGATATACCTACCAGCTAATTCGTAGAGATATTTGAATATTTCCTTGGTTGATCGAAAGCACGCGCGTGTACGTGAGGACAATAATTATTATTACAAGGAATCGTAATAATATTATACCTGTACGTACCTCTTATATGACTGAGAGTGTATACCAACTGCAGGAGGTACCGACCTTTACCAGCAGCTATTTAATAATCAGATTGTTTACAACATATACATTGTATTATATAACATATTAATATATATATATATGTATATCAGCACCTACAACATAATATTATATACTTGAATCACGAAACGTACCAATATATAAAATAACCTTGCGGTCGTCGGCTGGATCGTTGAGGTGAGTCGACGAAGATTTTTCGATTCAAAAACGAGATTCATAATAATTATATTATTATAACATGGGCGATATTATATTATATATTTTGTATGGTTGACGTTTCAATTCGTCCATCTCATTTTATCGACACTGCCAAATACCGTACCTATTGCATAAATGAATAGTAAACCACTCGCTTCTTTGTTTATTTTGCTACAATAATTATTGCATTAACGAATTCGACGTGAGCTCAAGAAACCGCGTTGGATGAAACCTGTCGGCGTCACGACGTAGGTCGGTGGGATGTATATTATATTCCGTAAAAAGAGACCTTCGACACGACTCGAGCGAATATAATTGAATAATGTCAAATCCGATTATGTACACGTAGGAATATTCCGTTAGTGTGTAAAACCAGATTTAACGTAATTCAATGCAATCAACAATTATAATAATATAGCACACTGATGCAAAAGCGCGGACGACTTCAGAGGGCAACTTTGAACGCTTTTTCGACTCGACCGGGACACAAAAAATACCTTTATTGTTTTCCGTCGGCTGAAAGATATCAAGTCTAAGCGCGAGTCCGGTGGGTGGAGTTGGTGCTAGGTCAACTTACTATATGGTGTTATTATATATTAAGTATATAGTGATTCATAACCACGAGGCCTAAAAACGATTTGCACGAATGCCATATAATAATATTATTTAACCTCTTCCGTGTAGGTCCTCCGCACTGGGGTAGACCTAGCAACCCCTCCTCGTCCCAAGAAATTTAACTGCGTACTACAGGACACTACGATTGTTTATAACATAATATACTATAAATACTGCATATTTTGTAATCAATATGTACCTATATATATATATATATATATATATGTTGTACAATATGTGTTGTAATATACAGCAGATTTGCAGTGTTCTGGATCTGTGCCTGCATCCAAGCCAGTAAAATTATCACGCGGAAAAATATCGTGTTTATTGTATTGATACGAGTATTTACGAAACGACATCAAAACACGTTTAACCTACCTACATCAACAAACATAGTAAACACCAAACAGACATGACGTGATGTGCCTGCACAACAGTGATATAGGTAGGTAGGTATATCCTGTAATAATATTAATATGTTATAAATACGCGCAGTATTATTTTTTTTTCGTTATTCTCGTAAAATTTTATAATCAACGCATTATACGTCTCACGCGCCTATACAAGCTTATCATATATCGAATTGGATCGATTTTTCGTTTGTTACACAAGTTTTGAAATCATATTGTACGTGCCGTTTGAATAAACATAATATATATATATATATATTACATAATTCGTATATACTCACCAAAACGATTTTCAAGAAGAATAAGTTCCGAGCCAAACAGCGGCTCACCAAGGACGTTCAGAAAAATATCCATCGGTTCTCATCAGACTCACGTCCGAGTAACCTCCCCTAGGTCGTATCCGGTTGCACGCGGTTTGATTGTGAAACGCTCTCGCTGGCGGCGGCGGTCTGGTTTTCTGCCACGATCGTGGTCGCGACCTCCGATGTCCAAGACCTTCGTGAAATTGAACAGAAAAAAAAACATACACACGCGCGCGCACGCCAGTTACATCTCTTCTGTGCGTGGTTTTTAAATTTTTTTTTATCGTATTTTTTCGAGTAGGGGTTCCCAGACGACCGGATAATAGTGGGAGTTTGCTCGGTCCGGTGAGTCGTCAATTCCCACTGGCCTACTGCCGTTAACATTGTTATTAATCATACTCGCGTTTATGATATGATATGTTCTCTACGCGCCATCCACCGACGGTTATTGATGTAATATAAACTATAATATATTATCAGTTATCACCCATAATATATAACAACGGATCGTGTAATATTATTGTACATTTTCTATAATATAAGCGTCCTGTCTTCGATCGAGATTTCGGCGGACAGTATTCGCTGCAGTGCGCGTATCAGCGTCGGGCCACATTCAAAACGGTACCTTACATTATTGTAATTACTATTATTATTGTATAAAATAGATATCTCTCGTGCGCCCATGATCTATCTTCCCGAGTCGTATAATATCGATCGGTATCGATCGCTATCATCGTCGCCGCCGTGTACCGTCGCCATACCCTGCGAATCTCGTCTCGTCCGGTGAAGACGAGGTGCAGCAGACTGCGTCGAACGAATAGAAGATAGATTCACGGAGACTTGAACGCACGTGATCCGTCACCATGAAGAACTTGTTCAGCATGATGGGTTGGTCGTACGCGTCTTCCAAAGGCGACGGCCGGCGATCCAGCTATAACGACGGCCGACGGACCAGCTACAGCGCCGTGCCCGCCGACCACAGGAGGCGTTCGTCGGGGGCCCGGCGTCAGAGTTATGGGGCCAACAGACGAAAGAGCTTGGACCCTGCTGCGGTGCTTGGCCGACACCTGTTCGATGGCCGCCTAGCCGATCCTCGGACAAGACTTACGTGTAAGTACAAAGCATTCGACTTGTTGCTGTTTATGTTGTTGCATACCCATATTATATATTATACCTACCAATGATGGGCGTATCGCAGGGATGCTAAACTTCGTTAAATACATTGCGTCATAGTGTAGGTACCTAATGGTATTATATTATTATATTATAATATAGATGGTCAAACCACTCGCTTGGATCGTTGGTGGAAATATATATTGCAATGTTTCAGATATACCTTACTGAAATCAATAGTCAAAGATTGGGTCGAATTTTCTTTTTTTAGGGTGGGGGAGGGTGAGGGGGCTTACATAATTTTCAACTTAAATTTAATTTGCAGACAACAAATCGGTCTGATATTAAATGCATAAAAATAATGCATTGATTTTCTTTTTTTTTTGGGGGGGGACTAATAGCCACCGATCTACGACCACTTCCTACGCAACATCCCATCTCCAACACGTGTTTCACAACGATGGCTGCGATCTTTGAAATGTTTTCGCTGCCGTAGACTGTAAGCTACTCTATTTAGCTTTCAAAGATCCCAAACAAAAACAACACCGTACTGTAGTTGTTCTTGTTGTTACATACAAAAATTATTAAAATAGTTATAATTAGTACTTCGACGTGATCTCGTGACTGCATCTTTGCGATACTCCCTGCTGCTCTGCTTGCTTCTTGTTTTGCTTCTTTTTTGTTTTGCTGCTCAGAAACTTAAAAACGTTACCAAGGTTTATAATACTGTAACCATGGCGATTATGATCTGTCTTTGCGGTGGTGACGAAACTCTACTTCTATAGATCGCCATCAGATTGTGTTTTCGTGTTTTTATATTCCTATAACTATATTATTATTATGTTTCGAATCCATATTTGAATTTGATTTCATATCACGTAGTAGTAAAAATAAATCGCTTTTCGGTTCCTGGCGATCGCTGTGACTATGATGTCTAATATATATAATAGATCATACAATATAGATAAAAATATATATTATAATATTATAATGTCGCAAATCGCATAAAAATTTTATTTGATCGCGCAGGTTGGATTTCCGATAAAGCTATAAAATAAGTAATAGCCATGTAAGCATAACATTATCATTATTTTATAAAATAATGTGTGTCACCGAGCATAGTGTATTCATGATAAAACGGTTCGCAAAATGTACAGCTGGTTTACCGGAAGCTTAATATGTGACGGAGCAGGTTTTTTACAAAAAACATCTAATATGGCATTACGCTCAACTGTATTATTATGTATATAAATATGGTAGTTATATGTAGGTACAATACGGATTAACATAAACACCAAACACGTATAATATTTTTTTTAGTCCTTGTTGGCGATTTATGTTTTCACTGTGCGTACCTACATACGTGGAGTGGCCTCATAATATAAAGATTGAACTGTTTTCGTCAACTAAAAAAAAAATTCAAAAGATGAACGAGTATTAGTTATTATATTTATAATTTCGATGTTCTAATTAATTGTATGACTGTAAACGACTTCCGTATAATTGCATAATATCACTATGATGTGTGATGCATATAAAGCATAAACCATGATATACTATATGAACCACATAATATTATACATATATTATTTTATACTATACTATTATATTACCAGCTATACTACAACTCGTTTTCCAATGCACGGAATCAGTAATGAAAGATTGATATCTTTGTTAAGATTAAAATCAGAAAAAAACGATTCCAAAAACTATAATAATAAATCCCCCGAAAGTTCTACCCGAGACGAACCAGACCCATACGAACGCCCTTGGCTCAAAATTGCAGTAGGTAGCAGAAAAATTGAATACCTATACTATATTATATACCTAATAGAAGTGATCAAAATATATCAGTGGTGGTTATGGTTAGTATTATTTTGGCAACTCAACTTACTGATGCCAAATTCTCATTGATTAGTGAGTCGGGGGGGGGGGGTCGCATAATGCTTAAATTCTAATAGCTTCTTCGCCGTCAATTCTTATAAATTAATTTTCGTTCGTATAGGTATAAGAGGTATAGCAATATAAATTCTGTCGTAAATTGTGATTCTACTATGGAATAATATTAACGTGGATTACATTCTTTCAAAATCTAAAACAAACCTTTATATTGCTTTATTATTCGCTTAATGTTCGCCAATCGTTAAAAGTAGTTGCAGAGGATCTCATCTCAAGGTGGGCGTACTTGTTTTCGCCCAAAGCCACAAAATCAAAAAATTGATCTGCAGGGTGATTCTTTAAAAGTTTTAGTCATACATTTAGTCATTGTCGCGACTAAAACAGTTAATTTAGTCATACATATATAGCCATAGTAGATTTTTGAGATTCTCTAAGCTTTGTTTAGCCCATAGAGATGTTATTCATACCTATTATAAACGAAAAATACATTTTGGTTACCACTGTCCGTGAAATGCAGTTTATAAAATCCATATGCTTACACAGCTTTGATAAACAATAATATTATTCAGGTATTATAAATATTGTATAAATAAATTATTATAGGTACCTACATGTTATGTTTGAATTGTCTGAATATATTAATTTTAATTTCATTGCATTGCATTTATTAAGTAATAACTATTAATAATTATATGGTTTACACTTATATTATATCGGCATTATTCACTTTTATAAACTAAAAATGTAAATAACATCTTCAATAAAAACAAAATACAGTGGTGTCCAAAATATCTTTTTCGTTTATAATGAATAATATTTCTATGCTCGAAAACCAAATCCTTCTTTTTTGAGTTTGGACAAAAAAAACATTTGGGCAAAAACAAGTCCGCCAAACACATATCAACCTATAACCATATCTTAAAATTTGAACGTTTTCATAAATTGATAATTGTAATTTGTAGGTATAGACTAATATTTTCATCGCGTAAAAACTGATAACATATCTTTGTATTAAAAAAATGGGTACATTCATAGATTTTATGTATAATATGTAATATAAAAAATATGCATAATGAAATAAAATTAAAAAGTCCAATGACACGGTGAAACATTTTTTTTATAGTTCCAACTCATATCAGTCAGTGATTGGTCAAGTGTTTATTAAAAAGGATAATATTGACAATCCAAATATTGTATGAATTATTCAGCTTTTATATTATTTCGGAATAATAATATGTAAATTTAATATTGTTACGCAATGGTCAATGAAAAACTATTATGCAATTAAATGTAAAGAGCGTATACATAAGTACATAACAATAGTCTATTGTCAATGGTCGTGGGCTTAAAATTGAATTTGATACATATTACACACATATAGTATAGTAATGTAGTATACAAACAATAAAGCCTGGGCATAAACGAGTTATAAAGTTATATTAATTTTAACTTTTTAACTTAACTTTTTCAAATTTAATTTTCATTAACTTAATTATTAACTTAACTGATTTCTATTTCTAAATAAATAACGAGTTACTTTTAGTCAAATCTAAGTTACGTTAGTTTAAAAATAATCAAATAATACAATTATAAATGATGGGTTATAATTGTAAGATAACAATTAACTTTAAACTTTTTAAATATTTTCTATTAACTTCTTAACTCAATTTGCTCAGAGTTGCAACCTGCGATCAATGTTAAAATCATGAATTTTTAATCTAATCACGATTAAAAATATATAATCAAACGAAAACCATACTAATTTTCATAATATATTGTGTCATAGCAAACTCTGATTGTTGGTCGCAAACTAAAAATACCAACAGACCAATATAGGTTATATGTAACCAGGTAGATAAGTGCAAAGTAGACTTTACCACGAAAACTGGCTAGCCAAATTTTTGATTTTTCTTTTTTATTAGTAATTCAAATATTCTATAATATATGGTAGCCGGTAGGTACCTAATAACCAACTCGGTAAACAATATTATTTAAAATAATATTAAATATTTACCTACATTAAATTTGTCGATGTTTGAAATCTTTAAATTAAAAATAGCCGCACTACGCAGTCTTATGTAATAATAATTAATATAATACATTTGTACCTATCAATAAAAGTGAAAACTAAAAGTAGGCCGATGCCCTTTTGATATGCAGTTGTGAAAAATAATCGAAATGTCTAAGACGATATCGCCTCACAAGCATATTATATTATTTTCTCCCGGTGTTGTTGTTGTTGTTATCAGTGTGCAAAAAACAACCAGCGATAACACTATTACACAAGCACACACACACTCACCCGCAAGTGTGTTGTTCATTGATCCCTATAATATGGCCTACATTACATCGTAGAATTGCATTTTAATGATATTATAATATTGAACACAAATTGTTATAATTTGGTTCTGTCCCACGTGTAACGCGTGATCGGAAATTTTCCTACCTTATTTACACCGTATTTAATTAATAATAAATGATGATATAAATTGTGTAATGACATTGTTATTATAATTCTCTAGTGGAAGATCTGACCGAATTTTAGAGGTGCCTAGTAGGTACCTACTTATATTATTATTATCATCATCATACTACTCGATGATGTCGACGGTGTCGTATTTATAACCTATGCGATCGTCGTCGGCACTTCGATCTATACCTAAGCTTAGGTCACCGGCATTCCGGACAGCATTCGCGTTTCATGTCTATTATATAGGGTCGTGCAGGCTTATGGACGTCCTGCATAATAATGGTATACTGTATGAGACACAACCACATCGAACCGGAAACCGCGAGACCATAAGATTATTATTATTACTACTGTGCCAAGTGTGTTATGTGCACGCGGGCAAATTATAACGCACAGAAAAATTGTAAAATATCGATATGGTATAATTATTACGAGAGGTAGGTATATAAACAATTTCTGTCGGGAAGTAGTTATCAAACGATGTATAGCCAAGACCGGAACATCGAGCAAGGATAGCTTGTCCCGTAGTCACATTCAAGGCAGGCGACCGTATTTGTATATTATGTGCGAGGGGGACACTGTGATTAGTATCATTCCAACTGTATATAATAATATGCCACATATTATACCTTACGACGTTATATATTAGGTAGGCAAAGTCATTAATATTTAAATTTTTTTTTGTCTCAGAAAAATGTATAT